CCTGCTGAAATCCTGACCTATGCTGTAAGTGTTTCCTGTCTAGACTCTTACCATTCCTTCTGCCCTTTCTAAAGCCACGCTAATTTGTCTGCAAGACAACAGCTACTCTTGTTCCACAAAAAGGACTATTGCCCCTCTTCTCTGGTACTGTCACAACATCCCCTCCACCTTGGAACCTCCCTGCAAGGAGAAACAGAGCAATGCCACACTATCCTCTGGTGCAAGACGATTAATCTCACCGGGACGCCCTTCTTCCTGGGTCAGTGGCCCTGGGGTCTCTGCCCTTCCGTCCGTGGCAGCCTTGCCCATGGAGAAGAGCTCCTCGCCCACGGAGCCCACTCACTTCCTCCAGGTCTCGTCAGCGGTGTAGATGTCAGCTCACAGGGGAGGTTCGTGGGAACACTTCTCTTTGGAGACGTCGCTGTCTTTAAATTTGGCCACCAAAGGAAACCACTCAATACCAATTCAATCACAGAACTCGGTAGAGTTGAACAAATAAACTTTTTTTTTTTATTTTAGCTCGAGAAATGAGAAGGATTGAGACATGCAAAAACTACAAAGTCATGTTTCAAACTTCCTTTTTCCAAAAACAAAGCACTACAAGAGGCAACACTAGCTACCCTGAGATTTCTTTCTTCTTTTTATTCTTCACACAGAGGAAATAACCACAAAACCCCTCTCTACTCTGCTGAATGATTGTCCCAGATTTGTTGAAATATGGGTGAGGCAGTGCTGTGTTTTTCACGAGCTGAACAAAGGAATTATCTTAAACATCTCCCCAGAAAATTCAAACCAAAGCACTTAGATACTTTAAGAATTCCTTTAAAAACTGATAAAGCGTAGCTCGAACATCCTGGGGGGTGTGTGACACCAAGTATCGGGGAAGAGACCGAGCAGCAAAACCCACAGTCCCTGCCTATGGCAATACCAGATGGTTCCTTTATGAATTTAAACAGCCAAACGCCGAGGCCTCCCACGGACACAAACAGGAGAGGAAAATCGACACTATACAACCCCCCCTTAAGGCTACGCACCACTGTATGATTATGTTCATTCAGGAATTGTCAATTAGTAGTTTCCGGTAACACCCCATTTCTGCCTCATACCCCTATTTATCGGGGAGTGTCCAAAGCACATACATTCCAACCCAAAAAGCTGGAAGTGCCTGGATGAACTGAAGCAGGCGACTCGCTTCTCCCCTCTCCCTCACGCTCAGACCCGAGGCAAGGAAGGTCCATTATCTTTCAGCATGGATTTGGCACTATTAGCTGAGACAGAGGCTTCAGAAGGCAGAGAGGAACACTGCCATCCAGCATGGGTACCTCAGGGACCGGCGCTTCCACCCCCCCCTCAGGTGGGAGCTAAAACATTACTCCTTGAGCCCCGAGCAGCCCACTGGAAGCAGAAGCATCCAACACCCAGGAGATGCGTCGTTTTATACTTTGCTCCTCGCTGCTCTGGCAAGGCAGTTCCCAACACGCCGTGCTACCTCCACCACCAGCCAGCAGCCACCTTTCGAAGCCCGGATTCTGTCTAGCACACAGCTCACAACCGCCAGTAACAGCATGCCAAGCGAGAGGCAAGAGACTCACAGCAGAGAAGCCCTCAGGGAGAGATACCCACCACAAGAGCACTGCTTCTCAGCATGAAGCACCAATGTTAGTTTTAGAGAAGATTCCTCAATTAGGAAGCCCTGACGATAAAACTATGCATTAATGATAAACACAGAAGTTTAACACAGTGCATCTATCCCTTCAGGAGGAGGAAAACAACGACAGAGGAGACATTTCTGCCTATCGTGTGTATCTAGCACCAGAATCGGCATCATAAAAGCTCATAAACAGAACAGTTTCAATTCATGAACAGCCCATAAAGACAGCACAGCGTCAACTCATTAAAAGCCCATAACGAGAGCACAGTGTCCCTTCACTGCCCTTAGCGATGGCACTGTCCTGAGAGTTCTTGCCCCAGGACACAGCCTCTGTCCTCCCTGGGGGAGAGCAGCCGGCCGGGGTCCTGCCCCATGCCCGGCTGTGCCAGCACAGGCAGTGCCCTGGCTCCTTGATGGCTAAGGCCACCCAAACAGAGGGGGAAGGCACAGGTCCCTGCACGTGTCCCTTGAAATGCAGTGGAAACGGTGCGGGTGTTCTGTCACCTCGACACAGAAATGCCACATCCCCTGGGCAGAGAAGTTACACGTTTGTGCCCAGGATCTGCTCACACAAATTTCTGGGAGACGCGTGAACAGGCTGCCCACCCCACCGCAGGTTTTACAGGCTTTCCTGTACACGGATTG